TAAAAAAAGTTAAAGCGGTACTAAACCGCATAAAAAAAAAGAAGAAAAACCCCTACAAGGTAAAGGCATACTATGCTAGTATGAAACAAAGCCCTCCAGCAGAGCGCTGTCACGGCTCCCCGGGACTTCCATCTGCACCCGGTCTTCCTTCCGGGTTTGCGAGCTCTGGCCACCTGACTGACCAAGCCGCAATAATGTCACTCCCGAGCCTGCACGTGGGAGTGCCGGGCCATGACACAGTGCTCTAAAGGAACGACACGGGTATGCCGTTCCTTCAGAGTGCATGCACTGAATATCAAAATGGGCTAATATCTCCTAAACGGTTCACTCTTTACTATACGCTTACCTGTAGGTAAAATTATTAAAGAAGAGTTTACTACCACTTTAACAAGCATAGTATATAATTCTCATTGTTAAAAACAAACAGTAAAGAACGAGATCTTCCTTGGTGTGACTTTTTCTATTTGTTATTATTTTTATTGTTTATAGTTTATTGTTTGCTTTTATGAAATCACCGATTTCTGGATCTACATGGATTAAAGATATTTATTTATATCTATTTATTTATATTTAAAGTTATAAGGAACCCTTATTTACAGTATATACTATTATAACTCCTGATCTGAGTCTGAATCAATATCCTTCTGATATTTTTTAGCCAAATAGGAATGATTTAAAAGCTCTATATAAAGCATCTTTTAATGGCTCACATTAAAGTATAAGGCTCCTTTAACAGCTTGGGAGCTGGGGTGTGGCAAGGAAAAGTGGATGCCTTAAATAATGGATGTCTTGTCCTCACAAAGCCCAGTTACGCCAAAGCACAAAAGGCATTGATGTCAGAAACTCCAACGTCACACTGGCCAAACCTCTTAGCCCTGGGAATCTGGTAAACAGCCTGGACTTGAGCAGGGAAGCTAGCTCAATAATGGGGCACTATACCAAGCAATTGCACTGAGGAGCAATATATTCTAACAGTATAAATACCAGGTGATTGCAGCAGTTTTGGACAGGGGGTGAGAAGTATTTCCGATGTGGAATAGAGTTTAATGTGTGCATATGAGATTCGCTATGTAAGCTACACTTATTATGCTGGGTACACATGTAAAGTTTTTTATTCATTCAACCCAGCGGGCTGAAGGAAAAAAAACCTGAGAGGCCGCTGTACTAACTAAGCAATGTTGGTCCAGTGTTCTCCCCAGATGACCTATTGTGTTCTGACAGGGGAACCCCCCCTCCCCACAACACCCTGATCAGTGCTAGCAGCCATTGGCTGCCAGCGCTGATCAAATGCTGCTGTTCAACGACCGGCTTCTTTGGGACGGAAGCTGTACCAGAAGTCAGACGGTTCCTGACAAACTGACTGCTTTTGTTTGATTTTCGGGCCGTGTTTACCCAGCCTAACATCTAACACATATCTCATGGAAGTATGCTTACTTTTATAACCATCCCGATCTTTATTTACGTTTTCAGAGGGTAATCCAAAAGATTTTGGAGAAGCTGTCCACATTTAGATATTTAGATATACCTCTCCAATTATTTTTAATACTTTTCAGCAGACCCAAGAGTAGAATGTAAAAACACTTGCAAGAATATATTACAACCTTTTATTTCCACCCCCCCAGTGAAATCCTTAAACTCTCTCTCTTCTCCTCTCCTGTTTTCTTTCCTCTCTCACCCCCCCCCCCCCCCCCCCCCGCTCTTCCCTCTCTCTTTCCATCTTGCTCTTTCCTCCTTCTCTCTTGCTGTCTCTTGTCTCTTAAATTCTCAAACTTTACTGCTGTCTCATTCCATCTTTCCATCTTTCCATTACTCTCTCTCCCCTTCTTTCTTTCTTTTCTCTTTCCCCTCTTTTTCATCTTCATTTAATCTCACTCCATTAGTTCAGTGTCAGTTCACACCACAAACTGCATGTGATATGCACAGTGACACTCTCTGCAGTTCCTGTGCAATAAACATGCAGTTCTGCATAGTGCAATCTCAGCCCATTCATTTTGGATGGACAGAAATTGCACCACACCACAAGTATTGCATGTGTTTGGGGTGTCGTTAACTTTTTACTGACACCCACTGTGGATTGCAAATGGAGTGTGTTTCACTTTTCTCTTTTTTTCTGTATGCAAAAAATAAATAAATAAAAGTTTGGCTTACTGCACACTGAATGACATTTCCATTACACATGCTCAAATAATACAGGCAATCAGTGTCCTAACCATTCCCAGAGCAATTTGCAGGCAAGTTTCCATAATGTGAAATTGGCTGCACTAGACTGAGCAGTGACTGGACTGATATAAGGGGATGGGCTCTCAGCATTCAAACAGTTGCAACTCTCCTGTTCTCTTTTTTCATCTTATGTCCAGTTCTCGATAAGACATTACAGGGCATGTGAGGAGGGGCTGTGTAGAGGGAGATAATATATTTCATGGGACAAGGCTTCTTAACAGGATGACTAAGGGATGGATGTTAACTCTTTCAGCAAAGTAGAAGGAAAACATCACGATGTGATAGACGGGAGGAATATGCTTCTGCTTTAAAGAACAGGAGTTGACAGACAGTCCCCAGGGTCCCCTGGAGCAGGGGCCAGGTCGCAACTGAGACTTCTGTGACCCCTGTTATTACACCAGTGGACTGTGTGGATCCTCTGGGGTGTAAAAGCTGCCTGCCAAGGACCCAGATCACTTACATCAAAATAAGTATATTCTAGCAACACCAGTGAAATAACCCTACAGCTCCAGTGCTATTTTTCCACTTTTCTCAACCTTACATTTTGCTGCAGTTTTGACATTTTAAATTGTTCATAGTAAATTAACTGTAGCTAAACATACAAGCTTATAATGGAATCTTTTCCAGTAATGTTGAAAGTTGCAGCTGCATAAGATATAAAGGTTCCCTACGTTATAAATGCTACATTATTGTTCAGCAGCTTAAATGCAAAAGTGTAAGTACAGTATATCAAAGTCAAAATTTGTTTAGTCTTGGGTATATTAGGGAAGAGTTGACACCCCTGTTAGGTTTTTCGAGTCCGATTTTTTTTGCCATCTGTGTCCTATTGTGTCCCTTATATCCTGTCACATAGAAACATCCGGAAAGTAGAGGAAATTCCTTAGAAGTGAGGAAAATCACCTTTTAGATAGCTGTCCCAGCAACAAATTAATCCCCTCTTAGACATTTGTCTTAGTAACAAGTGCCCCCTTAAAGGATTTTTCCTCTATTCCTGTTCCAGTGACAACTTAAAATTTTGGATTTTCTTTCAGTCCCAATGAGAATAGTCACTAGGACAAAGAGAGGGTGAATCTTCTCAGCAAAAAAAAAATCCTAGACAGCAAAAAAAGATAAAAGGTTAATAACTCTTTCCTTTTCTGTCCAAAACATACAGAATAATTCCAGGCATCAGAATGTTATACATAGTTATCTTAGTCCAGCTTGGACCAAATTAACTTTGTATGTGACATACCTGGAAACTGAAGACATGGCTACTTCAGTGATCTTCACTTAGTTATGGGTTTTGCACAAAATGGCTGCTCTCCTGCACTGTGAACACAAGAGGCCAGACATTTGGCACGGACGCCATTTAGAGAATACTTTGCGGAGACATCACGATTCATACCTCGACCAATTAGAGAACTCTTTGCATTCATTCAGAAAATGCAAAGCATTCTCTTAATGGTGCTTGTGCAGAGCTGCCAACCTCCTTTGTTTTCAAGGCTTCAGGTCAGCCACTTAGCACAGGACCAAGAAGAAGCAAGTGGAGGTCACTTGAGTTGGAGCATCTACTTTAGTGATTTCCAGCATCCAGTGGCCAGGTATGTCATATACATAGTTACATTGGTTCAAGCTGAACCTATATAACTTTGTATAACATGCCAATGCCTGGAATTACCGTATTCTTTAAAACATGTTTAAATACAGTTTTCAAAAGGGGTCAAATCTGAAGTTTCATTTACTTAAATTGCGGGTTCCGGTATTTTTTCATTCAATCTTAAAATCTTCTTAATTCCCCTAGACATCTCTGAGGTGTATGGATGTTACAATTTCAGTGGTGATTGCTGTTGAAGATTGCCTTTGGGAGTCCTCCATTACTGAGCAGATTAGAACCCATTGGATTATAAGGATGGGTCCATGGCACTGCAAGAAATAGCCTGCCTGCTGGTAGGATTTTCATATTTAACTTTCGCTCTCACAGCTTGCTGAACCAATTCATACTGTATGTTATACTTAAATGAAAAGACAACACCCAATGTATTGTGTAGTTATAAATGTTTATTTTTTTTATTAAAAATAGAAAATCTAGATAACTAAGAAAGTGCTTAACTGTAGTGTAGGTTCAACCAAGGTGTTTGATTTGTCATTAAACTGTCTCTGGTCATTCCCTGGTCATTCCCACAAAAAAAGCTTCACATTACAGCCTGTATTAGAACAGTGAATGGACTACAAAGTGACATTACAAATGGACCACATAAATATGAATACAGTATAACACTACTACAGTCATATGCCAGACAGTGGCACACACTGAAGACATCTAATATTAGCATACCAGTGTTAAAGCTACCGTGAGGAAACATTTGTTCTCATAACATTGGCTACTAATTGTTCTCGAATATATGGGAGAACGAGAACTCTTCTAGAATGTTAATTTATTAAAAGACCACCCATATTACACATAAACCACATAACATAAGAAGTTATTTTTTACAGTATTTGCACTTAGTATTTTACATATTGTATATTTCAATGTCAAAATCTTGGCATATTATATGGATGAACCCTTGGGGGTTCCCAACAAAAATATTTCTGGCTGTTCCAACTGGGGAAAGGCCTTTGGGTTGATGCAAAAAGTGAAGTGATTATGTTACAACTGATGTAGAAAACCTTGGAGTCAGCCAGGGTGATGATTAAGGAGAAAGAAATCCAGCTGTTACCCTTGCAATCCATCTAGCAAAGTGCAGCAGAAATGGTTATTTACATAATTATATTATTGTATTTAAGATTGCAAATACATTTTAAACATAGGACTCTTTAGCATACTGTATCTGATCATAGATTTCAAAGATAGGTTGACTACATCGCCGACTTATACATTCATGTCTGTTTCTGTGACAGGACTCAGACTTGGTCCTGACAAGGTCTGATTTTGTTCTGTTAGACTGGCAGTTTGGTTGTGTTAGCCCATATGAGTTTGGCAATTGTTTGTCACTGAATAGGCTGGCTTTGAGATGAGCACTACAAGACTGTACAGAAGAGTCATTCTCTAAAGGAGGTGTAGAACAGGTATTGCTTGATACACTGGCTCTCATGGTGTGAACCGTCATGCTCTTGTGAGAGGATGCATTTTTTATTGATGGCTTCCTCATAGGATGGGGGTTTACCTGGGTTTTTTTGGTCTACCATTCGGAAAACCTCATCAACAGATATTCTTCGTGTTGATGGTGGTCTTAGTTTTACCACTTGTGGCTGATGGAAAGCAGTGTCCTGCGTACCTTGTAACTCTCGCTGACTTTTTTTAGAGACACTCCTGGTTAAACTCGTTTCTTGGCATTTCTCCACTGTTACCATCAGGACCCCAGCTCTGTGTTTTGGTTAGCAGTTTTTTGTTGTTTACATAACAAAAGGAATTTGAATGCTTTTTTATTTCTTTACCAGCTTTGATAGTGTTACTTAAGTCTTTAGTTTTCATAGAGAATGATTTGTGCCTCACCAAGTCATTTTTCTTTGGACTTAGAGGGGATACCAATGGAGAGCTGGTGAAGACAGAGCAGTCTGAATAAGAACTATCAATAGAGCAGTTGGAAGATGTGGCTGATAAAAGCTGGCCTGCTATATCTGAAGTATAGCTAGTATTAATCTTTAGACCTTTTGGCATATTCTTCCTATATAAAGCAGTGTTAAAGCTACCGTGAGGAAACTGTTCTCATAACAATCACAATATCTTTCATGAGTATGGGTGGACAGTGCTTCATCACTGAATCTTTGTTTTCTAACTGTAACATCATCGTGGCTTCTTGTCAGCTTCTTTCCTGCTATTGTTATGTCATTTCGGGTGGAAAAAATGTATGGTTCTGAACATCTTCTGTCCATGCTGCCGGCCTCACATTTAATTTGGTCTAAAGTAGAATCCAGGAGATTTAGAACTTCTTCTTCTGTGTTGTTCTTGCCAGCAGCCCTGTTTTGGCCCCACTGCTCATTGTGGTGTTTTGTTAGTGCACTGGCATGGCAGTCATGATCGGGATCAGTACTGTCATAAGCAGAGTCATTTTGATGAGATGAAAGTTCTGAAAAGGACATAATATAAGAGAGTTTAAATTAAATACAAACATAGTTAGACGTTAATATTTAAAAAGTGTTACTAAACCCAGGACCCTGCATTCACTATATCTGGTCTCCCACAGTACGCACAACATGGAAATGCAATTATTTTAGAATATAAACTACTAAATACCTTTTCTCATCAGCAGTTAGAGCAGTCTTATGACTTCTATCAGTGTCCAATTGAGCACAGTTAAAGCTTGTATAAAGCGTTTTCTTTTTGCTCTAGGAGGATGCAAAACCCCTGACCTCTGTCTAGACCAGCAATGGGCAAACACGGCTCTCCGCGGGCCGTATACGGCCCGGCATGCCTTTTAATCCGGCCCGCGGATTGCTAGGCTTCCTCAAGGATGGGCCAGTGGTCGGCAAGCCGCTGGCTCTTTTTTAGATGGCGGCTACCATCGGAAAACCTCTCCTCTCCCCTCCCTCTCTCCTCCTCTCCCCTCCTGGTCCTCTCGGATGGCCACTTGTCTGATGGAAAGCCCCCCTCCCTCCTCTCGGACGTCAGGACTCTGCAGCTGTTTTTTTAGGCGGGGCAGCCAGGATGTACTCGGCGGGGCAGCGTGACGAACTCCTCTCACAGTCCTCCCTGAAGACCAGAACGGCGCGGGAATACGAGAGGAACGAGAGGAACGCGCGGACCAAAGGTAAGTGAATTGACACAGGGGGGGGACTTACTATATGGGGGATGAATTACTATATGGGGGACTTACTATCATGGGGGACTTACTACCATGGGGAATTTTACTATGGATGGAGGACTTACTATATGGGGAATGAATTACTAGTCTGAATGGGGGACTTACTATAGGGGACTTAATATGGGGAATGAATTACTATATGGCCTGACTTACTATATGGGGAATGAATTTTATATGGGGGATTCTTACTATATGGGGAATGAATTACTACAATGGAGGACTTACATATATGGTGGAATGAATTACTAATGGGGGACTTACTATATGGGGGATGAATTACTATATGGGGGACTTTCTTGTCAGCTATATGGGGAATGAATTACTATATGAGGACTTACTATATCGGGGAATGAATTACTATATGGGGGACTTACTATCTTCTGAATTCTATATGGGGACTTACTATATGGGGGATGAATTACTAATATGGGGGATGAATTAATATGGGGGATGAATTAATATGGGGGATGAATTACTATGTGGGGGATGAATTACTATGTGGGGGATGAATTACTATGGGGATGCCATTACTATATGGGGGATGAATTACTATACAGGGGGATGAATTACTATGGGGGACGAATTACTATATGGGGGACGAATTACTATATGGGGGACGAATTTAAATTAAATGACAAACTAGTTAGGGTTAATGAATTACTATGGGGGTGAATTACTAAATGGGGGATGAATTACTATGGGGGATGAATTCCCACAGGGGGATGAATTACTATATGGGGGATTAATTACTATGGGGGATTAATTACTATGCTTAGTAAATGGGGGAATATTAAATACTTTTCTGGATGACACAGTTACACATCTTATCTACTCTTCAGTGTCCAATTGAGCCCCGGGTCCAATATATAAAGCGTTTTTGCGGCTCTCAGGAGTCAAAAAGTTTGCCCTGACCCCTGTCTAGACAGTGCTGATTGGCCCTGTGCTGAACACATGCACTCTCCCAAGAAAAAAAAAATGTCTCTAGCAATACACACTAAACTGAACATGTGCAGAGTGTATCCACATGATATGTCTTATCAGGAGATAAGAGGGGGGCACTGGAAGAAGGGGAGAATCAGAGAAGGCAGGATCAAACAGTGTTTTTACACAATGTACAGGATTAACCCCTTAGATTCCACAGTGAGTATAACAAGCATGCTTTACTGCATAAATAGACTGATTTCACTGTTGTGGGTTTAGTAACACTTTCAATACAAAGCTGTTAGCAAATGTTAGAGTGAAAGTTGTGTTTAGTACGTTACACATTGAACCTAATTAAAGTAGAATTATAGGCAACACTTTTTTTTTTTCATTTTGGATAGAGCATGGGAAGGTTATAATCCCTGTCATATTTTGTTTTTCACCTGTATTCCATTACAGATATTTCCCTTCACTTCCTGTCCCATATCCAAACAGGAAGTGAGATGAAATCTCTGCAAATTGGGGAATTCCTTGGGGACCCCTAGGTCACCAGAACTAGTGTCCCCATTGAAAGATTTCTTGTCTATTACTTTTCTGGGGACAACCCAACATTTGGAATTTTCCTTTACTTTCACTTTCAATGATAATAGTAAACAGGATAATTAGAGAGGGTGAATCTCCTCAACGGGGTACAGATGGCAAAGAAAAAAAAGCGTTCTAATCCTTCTGCACTCTATCCAAAACTAAAACCTTTAGTTATACTTTAGGTGAATTCATAATATGAATATAATGTTTTATACAACGCGTGGTTAGTATATGAACTCAGAGAGATTGCTATAAAGTATTTTAGATGTTGTCAGCATTAACATTTTTCTCCTAACTGATTACATGCAACCACGGCTGTATGCACCCTGCAGGGAATCTGAGTATATAAGTAAGCAGCATTGGCTGGTATTCAGAAGCATTTCTAAGGCATGTATTTAAATGGAGGATTACACTGTCAGGCACTGATTAAATCTTGGGAATTACCAAAATCCATCCAGAGAACTTTTGTACATTAAATGGCAATTAGAGACTAAGGTAGCTATCTTTTTCCTTGGTTTAAGTCATTAATATGTCTCTTAACATAAAAGAGTCAGTGTTGGATAGAACGATGCTTAATGCAACTGATACATTTACTAAAGGTCTCTTGACTTTCTCACCTGTAGTATCAATATTTTCTAAGGAATCCTCTTCAGAAGTACCAAGTAATTGTGATATGTGGTCCCCAAACAACGCAAAACAATTATCTATAAGGAATTCAACCAGTGCTGTAACCTGTTAAAAAAAAGCACATAGAAGTACGAATGTGTTAGTGTGATTCATAAGACCAGCTTATAACGGTTGAAAAACAAAAACTGAGCAAAAAATGATCTGTTGTAAACAGAAAACTGACATAACTTTCAAAATTAAAGTAGTTTGAATATTAATGGCAATAGTACATCGCTGCTTGAGATTTTATGATCTATACGTAAGGGAAAAGCTGAACTGTCCCTGCCTTATTTGATTTGCCTGTCATTTAATTGCTTTTCACTGCTTTTTGTTACTGCATTATGATCATTACAAAATTAATTTTTCCCTATCTGTTTCTGAAATATCAATCAGATTCTAAATTGGTAAGAAAAACTAATCACCTGATTTTACAGAAAAGTCCTTGAGCCTCCCTAGGTATAACCTATTTTTTCAATTTTGTAAGTTATGTAAGTTTTTGTAAGTAAGTTGATCAGACTTCAACACTGTTGATGCAAATAAATGCATCAGTGCAGCTTATCAGATTTTTTTTTATTAAAAAACAACTGTATGTTGTCACTCTTCCCAAGAGATATTAGCACGGCACAAAAGAAATACCATCTGAGAACTGATGGCTGGAGGGTTGAGGCATCTGTGGCCTCAAGCTACTTAAGGATAGGTCTCTAAAAATTAATCCACCCAAAAAAGCACTACCTTGATATGATAGGCTTTCTACAGTATGGTACATTCCCAATGACAAGTTTCTATGGCCTGACTAATTAAGTGGTTTTCACATTCAATAGGAATATTGAAGCAACAATATAACCTTCATTGTTATAGCTAAATGAAACAACTAAGCCATTAGAGCATGGGAACTGGACCAAGGCATGTACCATGATCCAGGGCTACAAAGGAGAATCTCAGGATAAAATTATTCAGAATTAATTATTCTCCAGGTAGCAAGAAACACCTTAAATCACCCCCATGGGAGTCAGGTAAGTAGCACATCCTTCCTCTCACGTTACTTGATATTCATACATTTAAATAATTCCACAGTTAGAACACTGCCTGGTGCTGAAGAGCAAATGGGCTGGTATATTGCATTGTGCCTCCATGTTAATGGCCCTTAGCCAAAGTACCTGGAATGCTTAGATGATGTCTCTTTGAAAGTGATTGGCAATAACAGTGTGACAGAACAGTTTAGGCTCAATGATTTAGGCCACAAAAGAAACAGATTACCTTTTTTATTACAATCATCACAATGTTCTCATTAACCACTTGCCTACCGGGCACTTTTACCCCCTTCCTGCCCAGGCCAATTTTCAGCTTTCAGTGCTGTTGCACTTTAAATGACAATTGCGCGATCATGCAACACTGTACCCATATGAAATTTTTATCATTTTTTTGTACACACCTAGAGCTTTCTTTTGGTGGTAGTTAATCACCACTGGGTGTTTTATTTTTTGCACTATAAACAAAAAAGCGCAAAAAAAAAAAGTTTTTCTTTGTTTCTATTATAACATTTTGCAAACTGGTAATTTTTCTCCTTCACTGATGTGCGTTGATGAGGCTGCACTGATAGGCTGCACTGATGAGGCAGCACTGGTGGGCATTGATGAGGAGGCACTGATATGCAGCAATGATGGGCACTGATAGGTGGCACTGATGGGTGACACTGATGGGTGGCACTGACTGATAGCACTGACTGGAGGCACTGCTGGGCCCTTGTGGGCGGCACTGTTGGGCACTGATGGGTGCAACTGCTGGGCACTGGTGAGAGGCACTGCTGGGTACTGATGGGTGGCACTACTGGGCGGTACTGCTGGGTACTGATGTCCTCTGTGTTATTTGCCGGTTATCAGCAGTACTTTCCTCTTGCTGTGACAGCATGAGGAAAGTGCTGCCAATAACCGACAACTGTATTTATATTGTGATCTGCTGTGTCATTGGACAAAGCTGAGTTGGTAAAAGTTCGCTGTGATTGGCCTTTTACCTCATCATGTGATCAGCTATGTTATGCTGGGGGCGCGGGGGAGGGCACGTTCTGGGACAACGTCATATTATGCCCTCCCAGTACTGGACAACCACACTGTAGTCGTCATTCAGCTATACCGTGGTTGGCAAGTGGTTAACGTGTATATTTGCTTTTGTTATTTGTATTATAACAAAAGGCAATGAAACATCTTACTTTTTCATTTAACTCTTTCTGAGTTTCTAGCGGAAGATCCTTATCCACCTGTGGTACGAGCATGTTTGGAGCAATGCAAACAGCCAGATTTCTGGAATCCATCTTGTTAATATCTGAAGCAGTGCTAATGTGATTGAGTACACACATCAAATGTTGTAATAAGATGAGGTTTGGCTTTGGCAGTTTGTCTGCAACACTGAAGGGAAAAACACAGAAAGGGATGAGAATTTTTGCAATCTCAGTTGAAACCATTTGAAAACTATAACAGGCACAGAAACAGAGACTTCCTTGTGAAAGAGGAACTAGACTTCTTTTTTTTAGTAAGAAAAAATCCCATTCAGAAATACCCTGCAGGCAGAGCTTTCATGTCTGACCATTAAAGTAGGAAAAAATACATTTTGTGCTATGGAACCACAGAGAGATGAAGAGTTTTCAAAAACATAAGCTTGGATCCTAATGCACAATATATTAAATAGTTGTTCTGGACACCACTTTGACCAGTCACAGTCATTCACACAGTAAAGCCAATGATAATGATAAAACTATGCTGACATTTTAAGGTTAGAAACACATAAGCTATCATTAAGAGTTTGCCTGAAACGTGTCAGCATTCCCCTGAGTTTGGATGTCCCAGATTGCTTATCCTTTACTAAGTAAATTATTGTGAAACTGTTATCAGACTCCAGCTCTCTCTTTAGACTAGAAACACATTGGGGTTGATTTACTAAAGGCGAATAAACTGTGCACTCCAAGTGCACTGCAAGTGCAGTTGCTTTAGATCTGAGCGTAACATGCAAAAAAAAAATAAAAAAGAGCATTTTTGCTAGCACGTGATTGGATGAAAGAAATCAACAGAGCTTCGCCTCATTGCAGGGGTTCCCCTTGAATCTAAAGCAACTGCATTTGCAGTGCACAGTATATTTACCAACCCCATTATGTTTACTGTCTAAATAATTCACAATGTTTTCAAATGCAACATTAGGTACACAGCATATGGAGAAACGTTTTATGTTATTTTATCTTAAATTCATAGACCAGAACAGGGGCGGACTGACAACTCATGGGGCCCCCCGGGCAATACTCAAAAAAACCTATAAAAAAGGTACCAAGGGCATTTCATGGGGCCCCCTACTGACCCCGGGCCCTCGGGCAGTGCCCGAGTGCTGGAATGGTCAGTCCGCCCCTGGGCCAGAATTACATTCTGTTGTGGTTCACAGTAGAATATGCAATACATTTATATTCACTATTAGCATTCACTATATGAAAGGTCAGTCACATGCATCTCTCCATGATCAGGTAATCTCATATCTGTGGGAGCCTAAAACACATGGTGGTGTAAGGTTCTCCTGCTATAACTGAAGGAAATAATGAATTGACAGGTTGGAATTCCTTGTCTGAAGGTTATGGTGTACCTGGAGATAAAATAGTACCTTCCACTGGTACCAGAGGTTGGTTAGGACGGTTTCTGCATATCTAGCCAGCAGCTACATAAATAAGCAGATGACTATACGTGTTTACTATAGAAAGGGGACCACCTGCTAGACACTCCTGGTGCTGACTTATCAAAGAGAAAAATTAGGAATTGTTCCATCAGGAATAATTGCAAAATCCCTCAGGATTTCTTGGTACACAAGCAAGATATTATTGCCCAATAAATCTGAAATTGTCTAGATCAGATGACTGTAAATGAATCTAAGGTTAAGATAAATATAAAGCCCTGCACATATTTACATATTTTCTTTGTGTGTTCTATATTTATGGTAATACTGTACACATTTCCATGTTTATCTTGAATTAATTACTTAAAAATATACAATGTCATTAAATATGTATTAATTTATAATTAATCTATGCTTACCATTGCATCTGCTTAATTCTTCCTTCTAAGATTGGCTGATCCAAAGCATACATCCATTCATTGTAAAGTTCTGATGATAGCAGCTGGTGAGGAATGCCACGCAGGAAGTCCTGTTCATAGGAAAATATTGTATTTAGTATAGCTATTAAAAACAGCCATATTTACTAATTTAATCTATAGTAATCTAATCTATATTAGTAGGTAACACTGTTGTTTCACTTTAAATCATAGTTCCTAATATGATGACTAGCCCTCTATAAAGTAACCTATAGGAGACTTATAATAGTTCCCAGATGACTCTGGGTCCGAGAAATGTAGTCATATATTTCACCAACATAGCCACATGCTGCTGAATCCAGTATTGCAATATTATCATTCATGTAGTGCAGTGCTGTATTGGCACCACTGTATCTGGTTGAACATTAGTCCACCCTGCAATATTAATAACAGTCCATAAGGGGCTATACTGTAGCTCATAGGGAATGCATAGTCTACTCTGACATAGCCATGGAGAATTCAGAAGCATGTGGGGAGTTTGCAGAGCAATTGAAACTCCCCTTTATTATTTACCATCCAGATGCCTCTTAGCTAATTATGTCGTTTTCATACATTACCTTAAACACAACTGCCAGTAAATGCACCGATTTGCTTTTTAAGTCCAGGTCTCTTCCATAGTTTAGGTCTTCTTTCAACTCCTTGCGAGATTTTTCATTGGCAGCTTTACGAAAAACCCCTTCAGTCAAGGGACCTTGTATACGCAGTATCGTTAACATGTCCTGTAAAGATGAAATGTAATTTATACTCTTAGTTATCAGGTATATCCCAGAGTCTACAAAAATGAAAAAAGGGATGCATTGCATTAAACTGTCTACTTACGAAGATTGCTTTAGGAAGGTTGTCCTCTTCACACACAATGGACAGTGGTTGGTCAAATAAAGTTGCCTTTAACTCTGGAGGACTTGAGGATTCTGACATTGTGGAACTTCGCCTCAAAGTAAAGGGCCAGGAGATGACTGCTTTTCTCTTCTTATTGCTCTCTGGACAGAAAAAAATAAAAACTGAGTGTGTTAAAAAAGGTTTACATAACAAAGAACTCTGATACACAGATTTACAACATGTATTGCCTAGGGAAAGTCATTAATATAGCCTTCCCTGTGTAAATATATTGAAGATCATTTTTTTTATTGCTCAGCCTTCTAAGGAGCAAATTTTTGCACATAGTTATATCTTCGTTTTTTATCTTTTTCTTGTGGCACAGTCATTTTTTAACATGAGAATTTAGTCCAGATATAGGTCACGCTTTGTGGGCGTAGGACACAGCAGGTACTTTCCCAACAACTATTTGACTTCAAACCAAACACTATAAAGTTTGGTAAAGGACATTTCTATTAGATATGATATATTATCCTTTTCCACCAAAGATTTGCCTTCTTTTGCCTACACATATATTACATGTATGATTTATCAGCTCTTTTTTAAAATATAACACAAAATATGAAAGAACATCATTACCTAATGCAGGCCTAAATTATATATACTAATTTTTCCTATATACCCACTGAAATGTAAATTTAAATAATATTTTTTACTACTCACCAATGACATGACAGATGCCATCCTCACTGATCATGTCTGCCAGCAGCTGGTACTTCTTTGCATCTGCCTGTTAATAAAAATAAACTACATATTCATTCTGATAGCCTTCAATTAACATGGATGACCAAATAATTTGCAACAGAGCATTTTTCATTTCTGCATTAATCAACACAAGCATTAAATAGGCAACGTCTGAACCAGTAAAATAATGAAATAGTAAATTACATCAAACATTTCTTTACAATTATATACTATTAAAATAACCACCGGAATCTTCAATGGTTACATTTATGTCCACCTAATGCTACAGTAAAGACTATCACATTTTCACTCTCTTTTCATGCATCTAACTGCATAAAGGAGAAGTAGTTGCCACCATGCTTTCTTCAGAGGAAGTACTGATGTAAAGGTTGCTTCCTATGCTTCATTCAAAACACATTCAAACAGAACTCTGATTACTCACCTCTGTATGGCATTCGATTAGGCTCTCCATGTTGTTGGCAACCAGAGCTTTAGACTGTAACAGAAGAAAAACAATTAACCAAATTACTTATGACATAATCATTATATTGTGGTAAAATGGTTAGCCATATTCAACAATTTCATTTTTGTGGCTGCCTCACAGTAACATTAACGGAAATTTCACAGAACCATAAGACATAGACTCTTTCAAAAGCTGGTTCTGCCCAGTTCAGTAGATTGCTTTAAAGAAGGCCTGGATTATTTCCTAAATGCATATAATATAATTGGATACTAACATTTATAGGTAAAATTGATCCAGGGAATATCCGATTGCCTCTCGGGGGATCAGGAAGGATTTTTTTCCCCTGCTGGAGCAAATTGAATCATTCTTTGCTGTTTTTTTTTTTGCTTTCCTCTGGATCAACTGTGGGTATATGATTGTGTATATAGGATTGTATCATTTTTTTTTTCTTTTTTATTGGTTGAACTAGATGTACTTTTTCAACCAGACTAACTATGTAACTATGTAACATAAGTCATGTACGACTCTGAACCTAATAAGGAATCTGTTGCATACTTACAGCATTGCAGCCTGTGAGAACCTTCATTAGTAATCGTGTACAGGGTACGGTGGTGCCCTCAATGCCACCAACTTCTCGTATCTGCCTGAAAAGAGACATGGGACTAGTTAGAATTTTAGGGCTTCTGTTTACTGCATAAAATTGAAAGCCTTTATGGTAAAACCATTTTAATGCCACTGATGTATCTATAACTATAATGTGTAAAGCATCTGAAAGTAATCCATGACTGGTCACAGTTACTCACAATCAAATGAATCAGCCTATATTTCAGCGTCTTGCATTATGATCACTAATTTCAAAAGAACTTCATTAAAAATACCATTTTTGGACTAAATGGAGAAAAATTAGAACATTTTTCAAGTTTTTATTGATGTCTGTGTCACCACTGTGAGATTTCTTCTCATTTCTTTCCTGGAGACAATAGAAAGTGAATGGAAATCTCCCCCAAGTGAGGGGAACTCCCACCTCTGACAGATATTTACTCTACTGTTCAATTTTGGAGTTCCCCTCAAATTCTATTTTGGTGAATCCCTTACTTGGGACACAAGCAACAATAAAACCCAGAAGTTTTCAACCTTCTCTGCTCCACCTAGCTTCATCCAAAACTAGAAAATGCTTTGATTGGAATTTCAACTGAAGTGCAGATAGACATCACAAATTGCAATGTTTAGCACAGCAGTTTGCAAAGCATGTTTCTTTTCATAAAAAATAAGCACAATATTTTAGATCCACTATGGCATTGACAGTACTGTTAGTATTTAAGTAATCATTAAACAGGGAACAAATTAAAAATGTTACAAACTGACGCATGAACTGTTGCTTCTGTCTCCTGTGGGCATGAATGATGGTTTACACACTTTCTCCCCAGATCTGTAACAGTTGACACTGCGAGGAAAAAAGGGCGGGCTTTCATATCACCACAATTCCAGCTCATTAATGACAGTTTTGCTTAGAAGCATAGCTGCAAAATAACAGCTTCTTTGATGGGTCAGTGTCTGCACATGGCCAAAATACAGTATAGGATGTCCAAGATGGACAACTCAGAACTTTCATTAATGAGATTGATAGGTGATTTCTTTGCTGACTGTTGCCTGATCTGCTTTACTGTGCACAATTTGTTTGGAAGATGTAATAGGACTTCATTAGTAACACTGACTGATCCTTTTGATTACTATGTAGAAGTATATATTAATTTAGTCTACAAGCGTGCATACTAGCAAGCAAGCTTAAATATACGTAGTTTAACTTTTTGACTGCATATTGTGGCTGTCTACAAGGTGAGTATATGTTTTACCTATTTATGATTATTAGGGTGTTTTGGTTTCTGTGGCTCAGTGACACTTCCAGGCAACATACATCACAATAATAAAAACACATTACCACAATCTGAAACAACTTATTTTTCAGAGGGCTTCTGTTCAACAGAGTAGTGTCAAATGCAGAGCGCTATTGTAAGTATATTGAACCACAAGTGAAATCCCATAAAAACAACCAGACACCCAATAACAGATAAATAGAACCAACCAAAAACAGCCTGTACTCTAAACTGAAAATCCCATTCAATATGATATGATGGAGCTAATCCACTACACTAGATATTTAATCAAAACACATTGTAGTTTTAAAGCAAGAAAAATATGAAGCCAAAAGCCATAATGCCCAATTATATGCTTAACAGTAGTAGCAATGTTTACTAAAATACATTAGTGGCTACACCACCAACTAAAATGCTGATTAAATTTAGTGTCCAATACTTACATTTAAATAAATAATTTAAAATATTTTATTTTAAAATAATACATAATAATAAATATTAAACAATAAGTAAATACATTTAAATAAATTAACTTTAGTGACCACAAGAAGTTAGCAGCAGGACAATGCATACCATACTCTTCACACCATTTTCCACAATCCCCTTAAAAATTGCAGAGGATAATAAATAAATTAAATAAACAATTTCCCGACTCTCTTTTCTGCTTCAGGCTACAAAGAAAGATAATTACAGGTGCCTCCCATGCTGCCAGCTGGCCAACGTTAACCTATTGTCTATAAATATTCTAGTATTCTTTTTTCCCTCTATGTTCTAGCACATATTATAAAATTTACATAATGTTTATTTTGCTTTCTTCTCTGGTAGTTTATCCAGAGAAAGTTTAACCAAAATGGTTACATGTGATTAACTGCAGTTGTAGTTTTCACCAATTTCTTAAAAAGGGCTCACTACTTTTAAAATGAACACATACTGTTCTGCCTTTGTGTTGTAGAGATTTTTTAAAGTGTATGGCTCTATAAATTGTTTGAAACTAACACATGCTTTTTGTGTTTTTTCAGGTACACCTCCACTTAATCACAGCAACAAAAAATAACTTTAATAGTATTAATAATAATACTACTAATAGTAATAATAACAATACCATAAAACAAAATAACACTTACCACACAAGCGTATCCAGCCAGAGTTCCTTTACTTCACAGGAACTACAATGGAAATAAGACAAGTGTGCATAACAATCCAGTGCTACCAAGTCAGGGTCAGGCAATGACTAAAACTTGACTCCTCCACACTTTCCTATTTTATGTCGCGGGCAGGTGGAAATTCACAAGTCACAGAAACAGGAAGAAGCGTCATCATGGGTTACTCTGTAAAATTTAGTGCTTTGAAAACACGCCTGCTTCCTTTACAGGGGAGATTTGTGACTCTATGGGTATTTCTAATGGAAATCATGACACCTTTTAGGTATTCATGCCCATTACGTCAGATTTAATACAGCAGTCACCTAAACCAAGAGGTTTTAAAAACATTCTGTACTCAGATAGTTTTGCATCTCGACTGCCAAAGTCAATTTTAATCAAATTTCAGGTTCTAGATAAACATAGTTTTATAGGCTTTCAACTATAATTATTGCAGTTTTAAATATAAGTAAGGTCATTTTTAAGCAGGATGCCCACAGATTAACGTGGTTGTAGGTTTAAGGTTTTTTACCTTTATGCATTCTATTAATGTGTGCAGTAGCTCTCCCCAGTACTTACCTGAGCCCCATCTTGATCCAGCAATGCGCACAAGAGCAGCTGCTCTCTGAGGATTCTTTCTCTTCAATAGCTGAGACAGAAGTAGGAGCCATTGGTTCCTGCTACTGTCAATCACAGCCAGTGAACCAATGAGGACCAAGGTGGGGGGGGGGGCCACGCTCCATGTGTGAATGAACATACAGAGCAGTGGCTCGGAAGCAAGCCTGCTCAGGTGCAGGCAGCAGGAGGGAGGGGCTAGGAGCACTGGTAGGGGACCCAAAAAGAGGAGGAGCAGGGCTGCTCTGTGCAAAACCCTTGCACAGAGCCAGTAAGTATGACATTTATTTATTTATTTATTATTTATTTATCGAGTTTATATAGCGCCAAAGGGTTTGCTCAGCGCTGTACAATAGAGGGGGGGACAATACATGAAACAGTACAGTAACATCAAACAGCACACAAGGGGTAAGAGGGCCCTACTCTTTCGAGCTTACAATCTAGGAGGGAGGGGGTAGAGGTACAGGAGGAAAAGGCTGTGGGGGATGGAGTGGTAGGAGGAGGGAAGGGCAGCGGCTGTTAGGTGAGGGTGGGGTAGGCTTCCCTGAAGAGGTGGGTTTTCAGGGAGCGCCTGAAGGTGAGGAGGGAAGGTGACAGTCTGATGGATTGGGGTAGTGAGTTCCAGAGGATGGGGGAGGACCTGGAGAAGTCTTGCAGTCGTGCATGGGAGGAGGAGACCAGGGAGCAAGATAGAAGGAGGTCCTGTGAAGAGCGAAGGGTACGGGTAGGGTGGTACCTGGGAATCAGGTCGGTGAGGTAGTTAGGGTCAGTGTTGTGCATGGCCTTATAGGTCAGAGTGAGCAGTTTGAATTTAATGCGTTGGGCAATGGGGAGCCAGTGGAGGGAGAGGCAGAGGGGGGTGGCAGAGGTGGAGCGGCTGGTGAGGTGGATGAGTCTGGCAGCTGAGTTCAGGATGGTCTGAAGCGGGGAGAGTTTGCACTGGGGTAGGCCGGTGAGGAGGGAGTTGCAGTAGTCAAGGCGTGAGATAATCAGGGAGTGTACGTACGAGTAGTTTAGTGGTGTCTGGGGTAAGGAAGGAGCGTATCCTGGCGATGTTCCGGAGGTGGAGCCTGCATGTATTTGTGAGTGATTTGCCATGAGGTTGAAAGGAAAGGTTTGAGTCCAGAATGACGCCAAGGACCTTGGCTTGCTGGGCGGGATTGATGGTGGTGTTATTGGTAGTGATGGAAAGGATGGGGGGGGGCAAGGGAAGGGGGAAAGATGAGAAGCTCGGTTTTGGAGAGGTTGAGCTTGAGGAAATGGAGCGACATCCAGTCAGAGATGTCGTTTAGGAGGTGAGTGATGCGGGAGGAGAATGTGGGGGTGAGTTGAGGGGTGGATAGGTAGATTTGAGTATCATCAGCATAGAGGTGGTAGTTGA